AATTAGTAACATATATATATATATATATATATATATATATATAAACTAATAATTTGACAAATATAAATTAGTATACATTATAGTATACTTTATAAAAATATAAATATATTAGGTAAGATTTAAATACGTTAAATAAAGTTAGTTTAAAAGTATATGATATAAATATAAATTTTAGTAACTAAAATATATAAGTTAGATGCTCAATACTTATATTTTATATTTCTAATTAACATTCTTCTAAGATATTTATATTGATAAAAAAAATTATGCACCGACTATATAAAATAGTTTTTCATTGTTATTTAATCACAAATTATAACTTATTGTAAGTTATTAACTTGCACACTAATAATCTCAAAAGTTATATAAATAGTAATTTTTTAATTAGTTAACAGTATAAAAATTTCACACTGATTAGTGATGATGCATTACAATTCTACCCATATGTATATTCAATATATATTTATATTTATTAAATTATTCATTTTTCTATTAATATATTATTAGTATTAATTTATCAATTATATTATTAATGTTAATAATAATATGTTTGTGGAGAAAAGATAAATACTAGAAGGGAAGCTGAATAGTGAATATCAAAAACTCGTACTTTTCACAAGAGTGTGAAGTAGTATCCGCAACACATGAAGTGTTGAAAAAGTAATCAAAAGAACGATGAAAAATTATACTGGTTCTTCTCAAACATAGAGACTACGTACATCCAATTTTCAATCCAATTATATTGAATTCCACTAACTTTCTTAAAGTTACAAGTATTTTTTTCCAAGCCACTTCTAGCTCTATTACAAGTGTTCTTTGACTAGCCTTTTCAAGTCAAGCCTTTTCAAGCTTTACAAAAAGTATTCTTTGACTGGTTTCTTCAAGCTATTATCCAAGTATTCTTTTACAGTCAAACCTTTCCAAGCTCTACAACAAGTGTTTTTTCACTAGTCCTTTCAAGCCACTATCCAAGTATTCTTTTACAGTCAAACCTCTCTAGGCTCTACAACAAGTGTTCTATGATTGGCCTCTTCAAGCCACTACCCAAATATTATTTTACATTCAAGCCTCTCTGAACTCTACCTTATTGTAGGCACCCAATTTCGTCTAGGGTACCCAAACCAAGGACAAAGGTCTACTAGAGCGAAACAAAAAACCCTTAAGGGGTCTAACGCGTTGGGCAGTAGTTTTGTTATGATAATATCTCTTGTTAAATAAATAATTTTGACGATCTGACCATTGAAATTAAAGGTCAATGTATTGAGAAAATATCATCCAAAATGGTGAAAGACCCTTCTTTTGAGTTACATCAACCCTCATCAGGAAATAATCATCATAATGACCAAGGGCTTCTACAATTCTATGGAACACGTGCCTTTACATTCGAAATCTTCGTCGAAATTGAGCATTTGTCTAAACTGAATTCTCAAAGAAGTGATCATTGAACAATCGATTGTGCCCTTCTTCAGGACATCGATCAATCATCATTCTTTTTTTTCCTTCGACGAGTAGTGTTGTCAGATTGTTGTTGCATCTCAAGTGCTATTCTCATTATTTGTTCGTCGGTGTTGTCTTCAAGTTCCTCATCTATAACTTGCTCAAACAAAGCATCAAAGTCTCTATCGAAATCCATTTTGTGGTAAACTAAAGTGTTAACTTTGGGAGAGAATAGGAAGAAACAAATAGATTTTGAGGAAAAAAGACAAGTAGGTTTTGATAATGAGATACAACAAATGTGTATCAATTATATAGTGTCATAAAAAATGGCTAGTTTGCAATGGCTAGTTATAACAACTAGTTTCATAAGCATAAGTGAGAAAATAGTTGCAACAAATTAAATTCAATTACAATAAAACTAGTCTAATTTGCGATAATTAAAATTACAATTGTATTTATTCTCCTAATTTACGCCTAATAAAATTACAAGCCAATTCGTGATCTTTGAGTTGCTTCTTAGTCATCCTAGATGTGTCCTTCATGAGAATGTCATACATTGCACTAAAGTTAGTCGTCTCCTTCGCTTCAACCTATTTCTTTACTGTAGCACTTCTTTCTAACATTGCTTTTGTCATATTATCCAGCTCCTTTTTGTTGGAAGATGTTTCGTCAACCTTTACTTTACTCTTTCTTTTCAATGCCTTTTGACCTATTGGATGAGAAATTGGTGTTGTTGGGTCATATTCTTCACAATCATTGATGGAGGAGGCCCATGGACTAAGGGCCCAACTACTA